TATATATGACATTGACTTTCTTTTGCCTCTAGAAAATAATTAACATAAGAAATAATCTCATTATTTCGAAAGTCAATAAATGTGCGTTGAATATCTTCTGTTGATGGCAAATTGAATTTATTATCAGTATATATAGATGACCGAATATAAAATGTGAATTGATTTAATCTTGGCATACGATTAATAATCTTTTTTTTCAAATGGTTTCCATCAATAAATGTTTCATTGACATAAACAAGAAGATATAAACCGAGTTGTTCTAGATTTGACATTCGATAGAGAAGTGGTAGAATTAATTCATCATAATCAAATGTTTCATAATTCGAAGAAAAAGAAAAACACTTTAGATTTGGTAAATCATCCTAAAAAACAAAATGTCTTTTGTTATTTGAGCATATAGATTTTTATTGTGAAACTAACTTGATTTATCATTTCATATAGACGACGGCCGTGTAAGCGATGATCGAAGGGACGACGAATATGACACAAATTAACATAGAATGTATGAAGTTGATTAAAACGACCATCAAGAAGATAAAGACAATCCTTAAAGCATTGTACTTTGACATTCAATTTCAAAAGAGTTGAAGAACGAATATTAGGATGTAATGAATCGTTAAAATTTAACCGAACACAATCATTATATGATGATTCATGTAATGTGACAACAATCAGAAGAGTAAAAATACTGAAGATGTAATCATATATATTTACCACTGATAGTAGCATCTCAAAATAATCATCATTTTTATTTATTGTAATTAAAAGTTTTGTAATTTGATTTTTGAAAATACCTGATGAAAGAGTTTCATCTAAATATATTGTGTATAGTAAGAAAAAAAAGCTTATGAAGACAATATATATATACAGTAAAGTCTCTATATATGGGCACCTAGCTTATATGGGCACTCGGCGGAACGACCGATCGATTTTTGCTGGAAGTGAGCCTCTCTAACAAGGGCACCTTCCACCTCTAGAGTGGGCACTGTTTTTTTTAGGCCATACTGTATATTTGAACCTCTCTTATATGGGCAAATATAGTGAATATTTTAATCAATACACTGTTCTTTTTCTTCTCGTCACTCTTTGTTGAACTGAGAATAAGAGAGAGAAAGGTTAGTCCGACGTAACAAAGAAAATAGCTCATCTATACATTTCTTATTGTGTCGTCAATGATAAAAGTTCAATTATGGATTTTTTTCGAAAAGCTTGATTGTAAATACGAAAATAGAAAATAAGCCTAGATCAAGAAAAGACATAAGATGATCGCAGTAAAATATTGAACATAGTCAGAGGTCTAAAGATCGATTAGTAATATATAAGTCTGGGTGCTCTTTATGACGTAGCTTGCGAAAAACATATTTATGATCAGTATTTGTAAAAAAACTCTATAACGCGGGCACCTCCGTAATGTGGGCGATTTGAAAAAGTCCCGTAAGTGCCCATCTAAGGGAGGTTTTACTGTATATTCAAACAATATAGTTATTTATGTGAATAATTTTGACAAATCTTTGACTTGTTTAAAATAGAAAGAATTCAATTGAAAATTACATACCAGTAAAAAGACATCGAATTGACTCTTCATCAGTATTATAAAGGGCAAGACTATCTAAATTCGGATAATGAGCAACACGTAAAACATGTTTCATGGATGATGATTCAAGATCAAGCCATTTGATTTGATTATGAATTTCAGGTAAAATTTGTAAACAAAATCGATTAAGTATAGCATTACAAGATAATAAATCAATAAAATTATATGATGACCATTCGACAAAAGTCAAATGACTTGTAAAAATTGGATCCTGAATAATTTTATTTAATCGTTTATTGACACCATGGAAAGAATAAAGTATATCAAGATTGTTGAGTTTTTTGAAAATGATCATAAGAATTTCATCGGGTAAATCATTTAATCCAATACATGAGTTGATCATATTTACTTTCACTTATCTATTTTTTTTCAACATATGAAAAGTCAATGTTTATAGGTATAGACACATCCGTTCTATTTGACCGTTGTCGTCAATACACACAATAACACAATTTTTCTATCATCAAAATTAATAATGAATTGAAAGAATGAATGAATGAATGAATATTTTTATTTCTTTTTTTCATTTTTCTAATATGTCATATGATGAAAAGTAATACACTATTCATTTATTTATTTTATAGTGGATATGAGAACTTGTAGAGTTTAGTTGACAATTAATTAAAATTAATTAGTTAAAAAATAATTCTCTAATCATTTGAGAAAACGAATCTAAAAGTTATACGATGCACTCGAAAAGATAAAGTTAATTTAGAATTTCATATTTAACTATGAGACTATTTATTTCTTAGTTTATATATTTGTATTTCAGCAGGTTGGTAATGAAAAATAAATTGATTTTTTTGAAAAACTCTCAAGAAAGATTCTACAATCTCATAAATGATCTAAAGAAGTTATCATTTAGCTTTCAAAAAATGCTATCTGTATTTGACAGTTATTTTTAAATAAAATGTGCAAAGTAAAAAAGCGATGATCATTTTAGATCATACCACTAGTGCTAGTTTTCCTAGTGATATTTTTGTTCAACAAAAGTCTCCAAAACTGAAATTTTCAAAGTATGTTCAAGAATTTAACATATATAAAATGTAATTTTAGAAACGTTCATAATTCAGAAATACATGTGCATTGTTAGTTAAGCAAATCACATTGATAATGAATAATTTTGTCTATAAACATATCATGACATATGCTTATGAAAGAGTTAACATAATATAAATAAAAGACAAAGATATCATGTCGAAATCATTATTGATATTTAATCAATATATGTTTATCAGATCTACCAACAAACGAAAAAAAAAAGAAAGGTCATCTGCCACCTAAGTTGACTTGACCTTCAGGCAATACCAAGCAGATTATTGATTCTAATTTTCCAAGTTTTTTAAATTCTATAGATTAACCAATGTGTGAAGTTCTCTCAAATCTATCAGGGATGTTCCTATGGGGGCAGGATAGAAGGGGTCCGGATCCTCCCACATTTGGAAAGCAATAGGTGAATCGCATTCATCATGTATAGGCTGTGGTCGGATTTGGCCTATAATTTCTATTTGTTTGAACAACACTAGTATCCTGAGGAGAAGAACTGGAGCTTCGCAGTGCTCACCCCCTCCCCCATCATCACTTTTTTTATGGAAAAACTGGGAAATGTAAATAGCTGTTTCTTGTAAGTAAAGACGACATTAAATTTTATATACTAGGACCCCCTCCACTTTTTTTATTCCGGCACGTTTCTGTGAACTATCTATTTCTTTGTTGAACTCAAACAAAAATTAGATTATAGACCAACTTCAGGCAATATTTAATGATGAATTATTATCGATAATATCCTATTGTTTTTTCATTTTTTAGAAAAAAAAAGATGCCTGAGTTTAGTAGAATATGAGAATGATTTCAATGCAAAAGCAGATAAGAAAATATTTACATCTAATGATGTTGAAATGATCGAAATAGAATAAGTTGATATCATACAACAATCATCGATTAATATTACTTAACGTAGATTGTTGAGTAGAAAAAAAATTGGAAAAAAAAAGGTTTGTCTTCCAATTGAACAATAATTTTTTAAACTTCTATTGAATAAATTAAACATAATTATTGGTTTCTTTCTTTTATTCTTTGACGATTTTATCCTGAGAAGCCATCGATCAATATAAAAAAGACGAAATTTCATCTATCAAATTGTTATAACTACCATGAAATATTAGAAATTCATTAATCAAACCTGTTCGTATTTTCGTTGATTAAATGCAAATGGCGAACCTACACGAGAAATCTATATTGAATCCAGGGATGCCACCTCATGAAGTCGAAAAAGCGGAAAGTTGACTTAGAAAAGCGGAAAATTGCGGAAACAAAAAACAGAAAAAGCGGAAACTTATTTCATTGTGGATTTTTAGCATTTATGAGATTTTTCAGCGTTTTTCATATGTATAGCATTTTATTTTTATTTTAATAAAATTTCAAAACATAAAATATTGTTGAAATGAATAAGAATGACAATGCTTCACTCCATGCTACAGAAAAGTAACTTCTGCAGCTGCTGTTTGTTGAACCTATTTGTTAGATTTCATTGTTGACGTTATCAGTTGCCGATTTATACGAAATGATTTCATGCTGTTGTTATGTCTTTTCAACTTTATGTGACAATCAGTATCATTTTTTCCACCATCATCTACTGAAAAATGTTCGTTAGAGGCCATACAAAGAACTTGAGCTGAATCTGTTTAATACTCGTAAAAATGATACGAACTGAGGATTAAGTAGTTATTATGGATTAAACATGCCTTTTTTTTCTCTTTTGATAAGCATCTAGTATGGCTTTAACATTTTTATTTTCATTTGATTTCAGAATTAATGATACTGTTATTAAATTTTCACGATCTGTTTCATCTTCCTTTTTTCATCTCAATATCTGTGAATCACAAAAAGGCACTAGTACACTTCGTCGCACGACATTTTGTCGCGTTCTGTTTGTCGCAGAATTTTTTTTCGTTCTGTTCGTCGCAGAATTTTTTTCGTTCTGTTCGTCGCAGAAATTTCTTTTTCGTTCTGTTCGTTTCTGTCTACTTGCTGCATCGCTCTTAATTAATTCTTTTTTTTTTAATAACCAATGGAAATAGCATAAAATAAATGAAAAATTACAAGAGATATGTACAATAGCGCGAGATGATTAATTGGAAAAACGGATCAACAAAAAAAAAAAATACTATTCCAATACAATCGGGATTGAGCTAAAGCGAGCGATGAATAATTAAATTTGTTACTCGGCTAATGAATTTCAGCATAATCTAAACTAAAGATAACACTGATCCAATATCCTTAATTATGGGGCCAAGTCAGATAAAAAAAAGAAACATTTCACTTCTCAATTTCAACTTTCATAGCACACTATTTTTTAAGCAAAATGTCTCAAATCGAGAAACTCCTTTCTGTAAAAGGAAAATCAATGATGCTTCATGATGGTTATATCTATACTGTAGAACGTACAATGACGACGAAATTAATTCTTCGGTGCCAGAATCGCGATTGTAAAGGTAAGTTCGCATTGAACATCAATTAATTAATTCAAATGAAAATCATTTATCAATTAAGCTCGTTGTCATACTAATTTATCAATGGATGCAATTCTCTCCCAACCAACAACCCATTCCCATGCTCCACAACCTGATCGTGTTCCAGCTATTCAATTAAAAAATGATATTAAAGCTCGTGCTGTGATAACAGATGAACCAACCAGTTCAATTATTCATTCCGCCTTACGTACATATCCATTAAGTGCCGCTGGTGAACTTCCAAGAAATGAAGCACTTATGCTAATGATTAGACGACAGCGTACTGTTGAAACAGTCGATGTTAATGGTCGTTTACCAGAAAGATTAAGAAAGACATATCGTGATGAAGATTTCATCTTGCACGAAGACAAAAATTTAATTATATTCACAACAAAAACTAATTTATCCATTCTTAAGCAAAACAAACATTGGTTCGCTGATGGAACATTCAAAGTAGGCTATCAATTAAATGTGTCTCTTTTTTTTCTAATTTTCTTTTATGTAGGTGTGTCCTGATGATTATTATCAACTCTTCACATTACACGCGATGATGACCAATGCAATTATTCCTCTCGTCTATGGGTTATTAATTGGTAAAAATTCAGAAGATTATAATTTATTTTTCGAAAAAGTTTTAGTACAAGACAACTTCCAACCTGAATCAATTATGACTGATTTCGAAACTGGCACAATCAAATCAGTGAAAGATATGTTGCCAAATGTGTTACACAAAGGTACTTTCTAATCTATTCATAAAAAAAGTAATTGAAACATTTTTTTATAGGTTGTCTCTTTCATTTTTCACAAGCGGTATGGCGACAACTTCAAAGCAAAGGATTAACAACCAAATATAATGAGGATGAGTATTTTCGCTTAAATGTAAAAAAATTAATTGCTCTTGCTTTTGTTCCACTAGATCAAGTTATCACTGGCTTTGCCTTAATTTGTGATCAATTCGACGATGACACCGACGATTTACTCGATTATTTTGAAAAAACATGGATTGGTGAAAAAAGAAGAAGAGGTAATTTTTTTCTCAATTCTTGAAAAATTTCTAATATACCGAACTTTTTAAGGAGCTGGTCGAAAGAATCCTCAAATCGATCATAAATTATGGAACGTTTATGATCGTGCCGTCGCTACGATACCTCGATCCAATAATTCGGTGGAAGGTTGGCACAATACATTTGCTAACCGTGTTGCATTAAATCATCCAAATATTGTGAAATTGGCGGAGAAAATTCGTCGTGAACAATCAAAATTTGAAGTGGACATGGCGAAGATTCTTCAAGGTCACATTATTAAGACGAAAAAGGCCTGCTATCGAAAATTGGACGAACGTATTAATCGACTGGTCAACGGATTCGACGCATCTCAACTGGATGAATTCTTAAAAAATATGGCAGCCAATGTTACTCTGTAGGTATTTTTTTTTCTTTAAATTACTTTCTTTCTTTATTTTTTTTTCTTTAGATTATTTTCTTTTTGATTTTTCTTTCTTTTTTGGTTTTTCTTTTTTTTTGGTTCTTCTTTTTTTTTGTTTTGAATTTGTTCATCATTATTTTTTTTATTCTGTGCAAAATAAATATGAGCGAACTCATCGATTTTACATCTTTCATTAAAAAAAAATAATTAAGAGATATATGCAACGAATGGATAGTGATGAGCATAAGGAAAGAATTTTTTCTGCAACGAACAGAACGAAAGAAATTTATCTGCGACGAACAGAACGAAAGAA